ACATATACATCATAAGTAACCGCATCATGCCAGAACTGGGTAGGTACAGATGCACCAATAAGCAAGGCACAGGCAGTTTCCAAGATATGATGGTTTTTTCTCTCTGTAACTCCATTTTGTTGTGGGGTATGAAGACAAGTAGTTTCACGCAAGATTCTATGATCCCGGAGAAAGAGAGACAACTCGGCACCAATATATTCAATATTCACCTCCATTATCAGAGCGGAGAACTTTAATAACAAAGGAATATTGTGTTGCAATCATTTTGGAGAAGGACTGAAACACCATACTCACATCACTTTTATTTTTCATCATATAAATTCACGTTATACGTGTACAATCATCCACAAAGGTAACAAACCATTTAATGCCGGACAAAGTACTTACAGGAAAGGGACCCCAAACATCAGAGTGCACAAGATCAAAAGAGAATAATCTTTTATTCATACTAGAAGGAAACGAAGCACGATGACTCTTCACGAGAATACATACTTCACAATGTAAGTCTGATTCTTTTATTGAATGAAATAAACTAGGCAACATACGCCTTAAATAACCAAACGAAGATGTCCTAACCGACAATGCAATAGCCAAACTTCTTGAAAATTATTGGTACGGGATGCTCGAACTGCATTAGCTCTGCCAAGAATGATGTCATCCACATAGTATAACCCCTCTCTCTTAGTGCCACGCCCAATTATCTCATTGGTCTGAATATCCTGAAGTAAACAAAACACTGGATACATAAGTACAACATAATCTAATTGCTCAGTAACTTGAGGAATAGATAACAAATTATGAGACAATGAGGGAACAAGAAGGCAATGATAAAGAGGAAGGGCCGGCGTGAGGTGCATAGTGCCGGCCCCCAAAACCGGTGCTATTTTTCCATTGGCAGTTGCAATACATTTCCGGGAACTCATTGTCATACTAGTAAATAAATTCTTATAAAAAATCATATGATCGATTGCACCCGAGTCTAGAATCTAACCTGTATGATGTTCCGTATCAGAGGCTAAAAACGCATGCCTCGTACTACCTAGAATGGCCGAGGTTTCACTAGGAGTAGTCCTAGTCAGCAAACTGTGACTTGGATCACTAGAAGGGGTGGCATTCTTAGGAGCAGTGGCCATGGATGCACGACCGCCACCTGCTCCACCAGCACCTCGTTCCTTTGCACGCAACTTTTTCTTCAATTCCGAAAACCATTATGGTACTCTATGTTTCTGAAAACATGTATCTTTTGTATGACGGGTTTGCCCACAAAAAGTACACTTCAAGTCATCCTTATTTTCCCGAGTGAAAGGCTGAAAAGTTGTTGATGATGACGGATTAAAGGTCCGACTACCTGAAGGTGGCCAGGACACCATAAGCACGGGAGAGATTCCCCCTGATTCCCAACGCCATGACTACCCATCATTGTTGCATGGCGTTGCGCTTCCCGCCTCACAATAGAGAACATTTCCTCCACAGATGGTAAGGTTGTGATCTCAAGATATCACTATGCACCTTATCAAATATATCATCAAGCCCTGCTAAGAAGGCATACACACTATCTAGTTGGATTTCCTCTCGAAGTGTTTTCAAGTCACCAGCACATTCCATCTTGATTGGTCTCATCTGATCCAATTCTTGCCAAATAGTTTTGAGATCGACATAGTATACACCGATAGGCCTCCCTTCTTGTCGAAGTCTGAATGACTTCACTTTCAACTCATAAATCTGAGAAATATTAAACCCATCATAATATGTTCGAGCAACTTCTTCCCAAACTTCTCTAGCAGTACGAAGATGGATGAAAAACCCCATGATGGTAGGATCCATGGAATTAATCAACCACCCTTTCACAATGGCATTCCCCATCTCCCAAGCTTCATACTCGGCATTGTCCTCCTTGGGTTCTTTGATGCTTCCTATCACGAACCCTTTCTTACCACGCCCAGCGATATGCATCTCCAACACCTTGGACCAAAGATGATAATTTGATCCATTAAGTTTTATAGTACTAGGTACCGCCGAAGCATCACTCTGAATAACAACCAAGTTTACGACAGAACCGTGGGTAGAACCATGTGATCCACCCTCCAACTTTAGCCCCAAGTCGCCTTTGTCACTCGCTATAGGTCACGGCACACACAAGCACACTGCACAGCAAACTCACGGCATACACAAGCACACTGCACAGCAAACACACACATTGCACGACAAACTGTTCTTGCTGCAGGTATGTAGCGAAAAAACCAGTTATGTCTTCCTCCCTTCCTTCATGACACACACAGCACGGCAGCGCAGTGGGATTAGGGTTACAGCTTGGCTCTGATGCCAAATTGAATATTACGGCTTAATCTCGTATATTTCATAATTCTTATTAAATAGGTACATACAATCCTTGTTGTAAAAGGAAACAAATAAATGACATATTGTCCTTCCTAAACAAGACTCTAATAATTACAGAATATTTACATTCCTTTTCTCCTAAATTTTAACTTATTCCAATAGTACATGCTTATCAATCTGCTACTTGCATCAGGACTTCTCAAATATCCTTTCTTGTAATAGACAATTGTTCTAATTATTAGCATTTTCTTGCCAAATTAATTCTATAAATTAATTGATCTCTTTCATTCAATCCCGTTCTCCTAGACCCTACGGTCCAAGGAGATTGTGGCCAATTATTGTTCAATCTTAGACTTCTTAGTACAAACGGTGGAGATGATGGAGTTTAGGAGAACGGGACTATTCTCTCTCCATATACAAGCGGTACAGAGGAGAAAAAATGCATACTCTGTTCACATGAATGAATGTGAAACAAAGGTCCATAAACTAAAAATTCATAGGTATTTGTCCTTGCACTTATCACAATCCGGAACAATGATCATTTTCTATGTTAAAAGTTACATCCAAAATAAAAGGTTTAAAGGGACGAAAGTTTTAATAGAGTTATCCAAACTGATCATCGTTCCACATTGTGACAAGTTAGGAGATCAATACTCACAAATTTCTATGATCCTAAATGTGCAAGTGTAATCACATAAACCAAGTCAAAGACTGTTGTCAAAGGCCTCAAGTTTCCAAGATCCTAGAAGAAAACAAAATGTAATGTTTGCCTCATACCAACGAAGCTCTAGTGCAAACTTGCACCAAAATCAGTATTATAGTTATGCAAGTTGTGCAAGGGTTGGTGAATCATTTAATACATTGTCCATTGATCAATGCCAAATTTGTTGAGCTCTTGAAAAACCCATATGCCTACTCGAGTTCTTTTAACCGTTGGTTCTCAATCAAAGATATAATGACCAAGATTTAACTGTTAAAAATTCCGGAGCATAGGTTACTCTGGACCAGAACTTTCGAGATTGAGATGCTAAAATTGAGCATGGGTTTAGTTTGGGTTTGGGTTTGGGTTTGGGTTTGGGAATATCTGTTATCTGAGTTCTACCAGAAAGAGACTGAAAGAATAATAATGAACCCAAGAACATGACATGGTTTTCCAGCAGATTGAAATGGACTTATGATAAATGGGAAGGACCACCATTCACAAAATTATTCAAAAAATTAGGGCTAATTCCACGGAGGTCCATTCATCCCATGTGGGTTGAGCTGCCAAGTCATTATCTTTGCTAACTTTATTCTTCTGCCTTATCCAATCTCTCTGTCTCAGATAAGCAACAACAACAACACCTTATCCCACTAAGCGATGTCAGCTGTATGAATTCTAGAACGCCACTACGCTCGATTTTGTATCAAGTTAGATACAAGTACTCCAAGTCTTAAAAAAGCAAAGAACAAATAAAATTCACAAATTTGTTTGATTTGCATAAATTTTCCTACCAATGAGAGATTATTTGTGTAAACAGTGGCAAGCCTGTACTCATATTTTATCTCAAGCCTTTCTTGGACACTGGGACCGAAAGAAACACTCGTGGAAAATCACGTGCAGCATAGTTTGTCAATTGATACATACTTCTTACATGAATTAATATGACAAACTATTAGTTAAGGAATCAACTGTTATATTATGTTATCCACTAATTGTTGGTATAAAAGGATGGCTCGATATAAGTCAAGATGGATGTGAAGATAGTCCCCATCGGAGAAGTCCAACAATAATCTAAGGTTTAAATATAGCTGTTTTATTTCTAATTACACCAAGGCTTTTTGAGATAAACCTCACACGTGAGGTTTATTGGGCTTGATACCACCCAAGGGATGGAGCCTAGGTGAACAAATGGGGACATTATTGGTGCATGACGGCCTTAATAGTGGACACTTATGGAGCTCATGACACAACACTAATGTGGTAAAATATATATGCTCCTCCACTAATTTTTAAAAAGAAGAGTCACAAGGGCAGGTTTGATTTGATGTACTTGCTAATGAAGAGTTTAGTTGTGAAATTTTGATTAGAAAGATATGTTGGCATTCATTTGGAAGAAAAATATGCCACACAAGTTAGTACCCAGAAGAGCTCTAACTTTTTAACCCTAGCATTTGTTTTGGTCTAGAGATTTGGATTTATGCAGTTAACTCAGTGGTGTATACAAAAAGAAACATCAAAACTGTATAGGCCAAGGGCTTTTAGATTTAGTACAAGGTTAAGGGTGTGTTTTAGACATTGGTTCAATTTGAAAAAGCACCCTGACAACTACAAGTTTTATGCAAAAACACTCGGCACAATTGGCCAAAAAACCCTCATTTATGATTTATCCACCTGCCATCCTCCAATTGATTCTTAATCGTGAAATTCTTACTACTACTTAAACTCTTGCAAGTTCCCAAAGTGGATAGATTCATCTAAGATACACAGATCATCTAGGCAGGGCATATTAGATGCCGGGAAGAAAGACAAAGACTTGACTTTAATAAAGCAGCTGTTGAGTGCCACAATTTAAGGCTGGGAAAAAAAATGAAGAAAAACGTTGCGTAGCCATCAAATTAGCATAAAACTATGGTTTGAGCTTAGGAAATTCGGTATACAATGTTGCCGAGCACGAGACTTGGTTTTAAAGCATAGCACCCAACAATCTTATTGATTTCCAAACACAAACCAGAGATATACAACTTTCCAGTACAAAGCACAAACCCCAGTATGACTTTGGTATTTAATATGAAACAAAAAATAAATAAAAATAAAAGAAATCTACTCACAGTATTTACAGTATTCACAGTATAAAATTAGCAGCTCTGAATGTCCAGGCCATGCACCCACCGTCCCTTCACCGTTATTTACGGATTTTAACCATCTGCAAGTGTACAGGAAAAAGGAGTTGCTGTTATACAGAGTTGAAAGACCAAATGACTGAAACCCGTTAATGAAGTAATCAAGCTATGTGTATCAGTAAAACATGATACAGGGTGAATCGGGTAAAAACAAGAAATTCGGGTTGTATCAACTTTAATTTTTGGAGCCCAAAACCTGACCTAAATAAAGTTGTATAGGGTACCAAACTTGCTAAATAGCTGATGCACCACTTAGACAAGACACATTTTCTCCTACAAATATGGCTTGGAATATTTTGATTCTATTTTTTGTTTATATTCTTAGCACAAATCTCAATCGAGATTCCTCTCTGGAGCATCATGTTTGTTTGTTGAGGTGGAGTGCAAAAACAAGGTGATGGATTGGGTTGGTTGAAATTTCGGGCTTGTGAATAAAATGGGCACAGGGACTTTGAGGAATTTATCAATTTTACAGAATTTCATACCATAGTTGTACAAATTTTGGTGTTTGGGGAGATATAAGGTTAGCAAAACCACCCATCGGTCGTTAAGGCGTATTCTCAAGATACCAATATCTGTAGTTGTGGAAATAGTACGAGAGGACAGGGAAGGACGCAGAGTGGAGGCATTGATTTCATAGTTAACAAGATAAAAATGTAAACAATTTATAGAAATATTGCAATAGTTTAATTTCTTAAGTTCAGTTGTTAGAGAATTAGAAAACCAATGACAAATCTCCCATCTCATCAGAAAACAATTATCATTTTAATGGTGATATCAAAGTATGTAGAGCAGGAACGCCTTAGAGACAGACAACTAGCAGGAAGAGAAAAAATTTGTTCCAAAATATAAGGCTTGCCCAGCACAAGACTCAAGTAAATGTTATGATTAAAGAACTCAAGTGCAACCATAACATGCACAAAATAAATGAGCTTGCTGGATCTGTCCTAAATGCTTTGCCCTTATTAATTATTCCCAAAATCTTGATCGACCTGGCTTATGCTCGGAAAGATTATAAAGGTTATCTTCTTTGTTCTGATGATCCACTAGCAATCGAACTTTTGAAAAAGTTATTTAAAGAAGTAGCAATGAAACAGTTACTGCAGTCATCCTTTGATGTTGTAAAAAAATGATAACGTTCCAAAAGAAAAGGGCAAACCGTCAAAGTAAAGGTAGATAAGATTCAAATGAGGTTGCTAATGTGCACAAATGATGGCTACCTAATTGTGTAACTCATCACCACACGAGTTGTGACAAGCCATATAGAAGAAACAATGGCCATTTACAATCTCAATTTCTACGGCAGCTAGGTACTTGGGATTTCTTTTGTATATGGGTACAGGGGCACTAGACTTACAAACAACCTGCTTTCCAAAGAGATCATGTCTGCAGGATATGTGACAGAATTTATAAATTCCACATATCTCAAATAGTAAAATGATATCGCAATCAGATATTAGTTATTTCCTGACATTGATACAACACCCTTAGTAACATATTAAAGACAGCAAGAAACTCACCATGAATCAGTATTAACATATTCTGTGAATTGAGTTTGATTTCGAAGTTGGCCTCACTAGCACCCTTGTGGGCTACTCTTTATAAACAAGTCTTAGCTTTAGGTAAGACAATCTAAACACTCACGGGTATTTGATTCTTTCCTGACTTACAAATATTTCTTCTCTAACCAAAATTCTACAGTTTGTATCCAATTCAATTCACACAAAAATTAATGTTCAGCAAGCATAACCACCTAATAGAACCTCAAATTACGTCCCGGAAAAAGGTGATTAAGGTACTTTTCTTGTTGACCATTCACAGCAACCCTAAAGCCATGAGTTTGTCATTCTTGGAAACCCTAAACAACACATCTTATGATCGGGCCCTAAGCGGACCATAAAGTGGATTGGCTGGTCCAAAAAGGATAAGCATGAGTTCTTGTCTAGGGCGTGGTTTCTCCAATTTGTGACGTAACTCTTAATACTAGTCATTAAGGGCTTGTTTGGTGGGCTGGATGGGATTAAGCCTTAAGAACAGGGTTGGATTTGTAGGGACACGACTTGTAATCCATGTATAAGGATATAGGTTAGATAACCTACTTTATTGTGGATTCATAAATCATGTCCATCTCGCATTTAGACACAACAAACAACGTATTGGACTCAGGTTCATTTTAACTGATCACAACCCAACCAGCCCATCAAACATGCCCTAAATGGATTACAGTCTGGAACCATCCAACAAACAACATGTGGTGAATTGCTCAGGTGAATACGGTCTTCCTCTTCAACCCACTACCGTTCAAACCCTTCCCCTACCCTTAGTATAGCTTACAGTAGTAATGTCGCTTGTAATAACAAAAATCGATTGCCCAACAAACCCATCAAGCAAAACAACCAGACAAAACTTGACAAACATGAAATCAAGCAATCAACTGAATTTACAGAGACAAAAAGATGGAGGAGGAGGAGAACAAACCAGAGAGCATAGGAGTGGTGAGTCCGGTGACAATCAATCAGCCGACATGCAAAGGGCCAATATCTCCGGTTCTAAGGGAGCCGGCGACTTCATCGGCAACGGCTAAGCAAGACGAAATCAAGCCGGTGAGGGCCAACCACACCACCTTTGCCATCCAAACAGTGACGCCCCATGGCATTACCATTTTTCTGGGGAGGCTTCCTTTCCCCCTACAATTGTTTTGCACCTTGATCAATCCGAGCCCCCCTTTTGGGGTAAAAACTGAAGTAAAAAAAAGTCGGAAGAGTTCATAACAAGGATTTACCTTTTCCTTTTCCTTCTTGGCTTTTTTATTTTTTTTAATTTTTTGAGAAAAGTTAAAGAGTCACTCAAAAGCAAGATTCCGTCAGTAAAATATTATGCAAAAAATATCAAGCGACGGAGGGTTTATTGAGAATCATTTTGAGAGTCACTTTCGTAGTTTTTTTTTTCTTTTCTGAGCAAAAAGTATTAACACTCGAAGTTTTAACTTTAACCTTTAAAAAATCCGGTCCATCCAAATCGTGCCCAACCTACTACAGAAAATGCTTTGATTCCAGAAAAAGTTTGAATTAAGCACGCAATGGATTTAATAATAAGACATGAACATTAAAACAATTCACCACTTGTTGTTGTAATTAAACCAACCAAACTATGACAATGTATGTTTTGCATTTAGAGAAGGCCTTAGGCCCTTAATAATAACAAAAACGGTTGTTTACTTCAGGAGCTGTTAACTATTACTCGGGTCATATTTTGATCCCTATTTTGATTTATTCTAAACAACGAGGAAGGATATTTAAATTTGGATATAGAACGAAAAGCACGCTGCTATAAAATATACTTTGGTTAAGTTCAGATATGTGTCAAAGTTGTGACTTATAAAACTAAACAAAAAGGGAAAATAACTCAATACAAGAGGAATTTGCTAGTACATGATCTAAATCAAATTATTCATTGTAGGCTTGATTGCAGCCACATTGGTTGAAGTATATTTGTTCACCCATGCAACAAGGTTTGAATCTCCATCGTTGTAATTAAGATAAATTTAAAGTAGAGCATCACTTTGTATAAAAAAAATAATTCAGTTATCATTAGGCCAAAATCCTTGCACATTTGAGGAGGCCAAAATCCTTCACACCTCAGAATCGCAATGCTTATGCCTTCTTCAACTTCAAAATTAGGAACAACTTTTTGAATTGATCAAATTGCGATCCCTCACAACTTTGATTTTTCGCTTTTTGAGTCAAATACAAGCACCCTTGAATTTTGGTCAACAATGTATTCAGTTCATCGATCACTATTGACATGTAATCATATCATATGTTAAACAACACAACCTCAGTTTAAAATATGATCATGTGCTTCACAGATGATCACGTATTTCTCAATTGCGCAATTGAGACAAAATTGGCAAAAAAAATCGACACTATATATTAAATCAAATTCAAATACCAAATACCACGAATTTTAATTCAGTTACAAAACTTCAATTCACCAATAATTTAAGGCCGATTTCTGTAATTTAATCTTTTACAAAAAGTTAGGGCCAAATAGTTACATTTCATAAATCCCAAGGTGAAAATTGTAATTTAGCCTAAATTTTAATCTCAATCGTACGCTCCCCACCTCACCTATAAACCAAGTTGCATCCCTCTAGGGTTTTACTTCTCAGCGCGCAGCCTCAACACAGTTCAGTCGCTCGCCGCCGTCTCTTCTTCTTCCTCCAGCCGCCGCCGCCTCCCTCCGCAACCGCAACCATGGTAATTCTCCCTCCAGCTAATTTTCTGTTTGTTTCCCGAGAAACCGAAAAGAAAGAGAACGTTGAATTTGTTGTATCTGCAGATCATTTCTGAGAAGAATCGTCGGGAGATCTCCAAGTACCTGTTCCAAGAGGGAGTTTGCTACGCGAAGAAGGACTATAACTTGGCGAAGCATCCCGACATCGACGTCCCAAATCTGCAGGTGATTAAGCTGATGCAGAGCTTCAAGTCCAAGGAGTATGTGAGGGAGACGTTTGCTTGGATGCACTACTACTGGTACCTTACCAATGACGGTATCGAGTTCTTGAGGACTTATCTCAATCTCCCTTCTGAGATTGTCCCTGCTACTCTCAAGAAGCAGGCCAAGCCTCCTGGCCGCCCCATGGGCCCCTCCGGTGACCGCCCCCGGTAATTCGCTTATTGATTTATGTTGATGGAATTGTTTATGGTAGAATTGCGAAATGTCGAAATGCTTATTCGATTTGTTGGTATTAGGAAGTTGTTAATTTGATTGATTAAATTGATACATTGCTCATTTTTGGTTTAGAGATTCTGCAATAAACTGCAATTGAGTGAAATGTGAGTGGGGTTTAATAGATGATTGAAGCATATTTTTTTGGTTGGGTTTTAACGAAATCACGACACGTTTGAATCAAAACACAACACATTTGAATCTAATATTGGTCATGTAGGAAGAAGTTAATTTTAACAGCATTGCAACGCATCTGAATCTTTGTTAATTATTCAACCAATTAACTGTGACAGATTTGAGCTTCCTTTTCTAGTCTATTTGTTGAATGTTTTATTGGGTTGGAATTTAATGTTTGGTTTGGTGATGGTGTGAACAGTGGCCCATCTCGCTTTGATGGAGAACGCAGATTCGGTGGTGACAGGGATGGGTACCGTGGAGGACCTCGTGCACCTGGTGGTGACTTTGGGGACAAGGGTGGAGCTCCTGCTGATTATAGGCCTTCTTTTGGGGTAATTTCCTTGTTGCGAATTAATTTGTTTTGTATTTTACTCTAAGGTTCTGTTTGTGTTTACCATTTGTCGGATATGGGATCAATTTCACTTCTATATGTCAACTGAAAAAAAATCACTACTCGTGGAATCTCAAAGCTGTTTTCTGTCTGATACTATCGAGCTTTTTACCGATGACTTGATAAGTGTTGCATGACTAGACAGTTTGGTCACTTTGGGAATAACATGCATCAGTGTTTTTTCTGTGTAGTGTAGAAGCAGTGCCCTATCTTTCCTTCTTGTTAGGTGTCAGTGTTAAAGCGCTTCATATGAAAACCTCTTAACTCATCTTTCTCTTTGCGTCTGTATTTTCAGGGTCCCGGTGGAAGGCCTGGCTTTGGTCGTGGAGCTGGTGGTTTTGGTGCAGGCCCAGCTAGCTCTAATCAATCTTAAATGAATGGATGTTGAGATGATGACATTTTGTATTTGGAGACAATAGTGGTTTTGCTTAATTGTTCAAGTGTCTACAACATTGTCGGATTTTCTTCGATGTTTACTTTATTCTACTTTGTTTTTGAACGGCACCTTGAAACATATTTTCTTTCGGTCATCTATCAACAAAGTGCCACAATCGCGACTGACTAGAAAGGTAAGAACTAAGAACTCCAACCTATTTGATGCTTCTTTTGGCCAAATACGACATACAAGTGACACTTGCACTACAAGCAACTCGAGGGAAATGGGTTCTACCAAGAAACTATGGATAAGTACATACAAGTGAGACTTGCAGTACGAGTAACTAGGGATGGGCAATGGTTATGGCGGGTGGGTAATCGTTGTTATTTACCCATAACCGTTTATATTCATGCCCGTATAACCGTTTACCCGTTGGGTAATTGCTTAAACAGTTATATCCAACCTATAACCGTTTATAAACGGTTAACCATACCTATAACCGCGTACCCATTTAACTGTAACTGTATACCCGTTTATCCATTTTTTTAACCTATTTACCCCTTTTTGCACCTATTTACATATTTTTTTTAACCGTAACCGTATACAACTCCAATAATGGAAATAATAAAAACGAACGATAGTTTTAATCAATCAAGGTGATATAAATTCAGACTTCTTCTTCCACGACTTCCCTAATTTTAATTGAAAATCAAAATTACTGATTATTCAGTTTATGCAACAACAAAAAATCATTGAATAAAAAAAAATCTCTAAAAATTAGACTTTAGTCTACACAATATTTTCAATCAGAATATTCAGCCTTCCCTAATTTTAATTGGCTCAATCCGTACTATGACTTCCCTAATTTTCAATCAAAAAAATTAAACAATACCCTGCATCACTAAACCCAAAAAATAAGAGATTTTCAATAAATTAAGAGTAAATTGTAGCTATGGTTCCTTAACTTTAATTCAATTGGAGCAATGGTCCCTCAACTTACAAATTAGGTTTTTTGTTTTTTTTTAATTTTATATATCTATTAAAATAAACGGGTAAACGGATAACCGTTATAACTGCAGTTAGTATCCATAACCGTTCATTTAAATTTTACGGGTAAACGGTTATACCCATAACCATTTAATTATCTAAACGGTTACCCATAACAGTAACCGCGAAATTTAAATGGACGGATAACCACGGTTACCCATAACCGATGGGTATTTGCCCATCCCTACGAGTAACCGGAGGGAAATGGTTCTGCCAAGAAACCATGGATAAGCTTTTGCCATTGGTTATTGGTCGAGCCACTGGAATGGAACGATATAAAGTCTTTGGAGATCTTTCATCCCACTTGAAACAGTTTTTGCCGTCGTTGGCCCTTCTTTCACTAATGATGCCGTTTTTTAGTAGTTCCGCAAGGGACCGTACTCCTTATTGCTTGTGCTTGCTTGTGCTAGCTTTTCGCTCTCAAGTTTTCGCTCTCAAGTTAACGGTGATTATTTGGTACTTGTATCAAATTAGGCTGCCCATTGTTTAACTTAGCCGAACTCTCCTTCTCCTTAGTGTAAAAATATCAATGTACTCAAAAGTAAACGGTCTATCTAAAGCAAACCAAAGCACAAGGACGATAAGTTTGCCGTTTGAAGCGCTACTAGCACAGGGCATCTTGTCCAGGCCCAAGTGTTAATTTAGGGTTTTGCCATATGGTTATCATTCTACTTGCTTTATGAAGGATTTTACCCCTGAAAATCAAAAGGGAAGGTCTTTATCATATAATGACCAACAAATGTAAACAGATTTTAAGATTAATGTATAAATTCTACCACATCCCTCTCAAAATTTCAACGTAAAATAGACCGATCTCATACAACTTCGGATACACAAACTTTGAAGAACCCTGAAACGAACTGAGCTTGAAAGCACTGAGATTCTCCAAAAACAAGACTGGTTCACAAAATGTTCCACTTTCCTGCCAACGCCTGGCAAATCATCGTGATACAATATGCCGCACTCAAGGGATAACCAGATACTGCAAGAGTTGACAAATAAGATGCTGCATTAAATTTCACAATACAGAATGTAGCAAG